CAAACCCAAACCCAAAGGCAAACCCAAACCCAAACCCAAACCCAAACCCAAACCCAAACCCAAACCCAAACCCAAACCCAAACCCAAACCCAAACCCAAACCCAAACCCAAACCCAAACCCAAACCCAAATCCAAACCCAAACCCAAACCCAAACCCAAACCCAAACCCAAACCCAAACCCAAACCCAAACCCAAACCCAAACCCAAACCCAAACCCAAACCCAAACCCAAACCCAAACCCAAACCCAAACCCAAACCCAAACCCAAACCCAAACCCAAACCCAAACCCAAACCCAAACCCAAACCCAAACCCAAACCCAAACCCAAACCCAGAACTAAAAATAGAATTCTTCTAAACCCAACCTTCAAACCCTAGCCCAAAATTATAAACTTATTCAAATATCATTAAATTTTATATCATTCGATTGTAAATGATGAGTAGAACAACATGGTATATTTAGTTTTTCAATTTATAAAATATTAACTTTGTAAATAATGTCAGATTAAAATTTGTAAAATGAAACTATAGGAAGAATGATAATTTCAAAATCCTTTAATGAGATTATATAGTCTATATCATCGTTAACAACATTCATAATCACTTTCATATAAAATTTCAAAAGTTCATGTTGGTAGGTATAAAAGTATCAAGTGAAAAGGGAAGATGTGAGGTAAAAGAGGTCAACAATAACTTTTGAGTTTCTCATCAAAACATATTGAATCCTGACATCAAAATGTTCCATTTGATGAGTAAACATCGAATATCAAATTTATTTTAACTTTAATATTTAAAGATTTCTTCCCTCAATCACACATGGTCTACTTTGATGAAAAGGATGAAACCAACATGATGTAGATGATATATAATGATATAGAATTCAATTTCATATCATAAAAATCAGAAATGGTACCATGGGAAGGTAAATGTTGATATTTTATGATTGACTTTAGAGAAAGACAAGTCACACCAACTCTATCAAATATATCACTTCAATCAACAAAATATATATGAAAATGCTCCACTCGATGAGTAGAGATAGAATATTAAGTTTATTTTCAC